CTCCCACCTCTAGCGACCACAAGCGTTCCACCCGACCTCCCCCTGAGACCGAGCGACCAACCGCCTGTGGAACTGTGATTCTTCCGGCCCTCCGCGCAGCCATGGATCGGCGTCGCAACAATCTCGTCCGTCTCGAACCCGGACGCAATCCTAACGAACCCCCGGCTACCCCAGAAGAAGAGAAGGACTTCGACCGCAGTGTCCGAATCCATCATGGTCTGGAAAAGGTGGCCGAAGACATTGCCCGAGCTTTCAATAGCCTCCAACACTGGGATATGGAGAGACCTGTTGACATGGGCGGTGGTGTTGATACTGTTCTCGACGTGTTCCTCGAAGAGGTCCTCGCCCGGATGCAAGCCCGTACCGACGTGTAATAGACACGTTTGAATTTGTTTGAGTAGCTCTCGATGAAGTTTCTAGGCCCTGGACTTTGCGTGATTTCACTCATCCCATTGCCTTTCTTTGTTTCTTGAGGCCTTGGTCTCTTCTTCTTTCATGTATGTTATGTTATTTGTAGGAGTTAACACTTCTAATGGAACTATCATCTTTGCTCTCGGTTCTCGCTTTCGCTTGTATGACTACCTCGCTTGGCTCTCGGCATGGGAAGCTCACTGATTTAGTACGATCAAATGCTGCGCTGATACTGATTCCAGCGGGTCTTTCTCTTCTTTCTCTCGTTTGCCAGAGACGATAAGAACACTCCCAGAGCCCGCTTATATTACTTGTATGTCAATAAGCAGTATGGTGGGCTATGTGGAGATAAAAGACAGAGGAAAGAAATTAGATAGAGCCTGAAGATGTATGTACTACCCGTGGACACCGTAGTGTGTTCCAAGGTTGTGCTAAAGTCTCTTTAGAGTAAGGTTATTTTAAGTGGGCCACTTTAAATGGGTCTGTGATCACGTGGAAGGCAGATTGATACAAAGTTAAGGGTATTCCTAGTATAACCTGGGTAGTATACAACATAGCGCTTAAGAGCAAAGAGTGGAAAGATGTGGAGGGATGTTTTGGTCGGTCCTTTAGGCAAAAAGCGACTGACATTGGCGCACTGCCTCTAGGATGGTCGAAACAGCCAATCCGTCTCCGGCGTCGGAATCAAGTAGTTGGTGATGTTGAATTCATTCGCATTAGAATGATGGCCGGCATCATCTACCGACCCAGTCGGAGGCGCGGGGCCAGCGTCTGTCAATCCATGAATCGACATCGGATTTGGTACAGACTCTGAGATTTCCAAATGAGAAGGGGCAGAAGTAGACATGTCTGGAGGTCGTGCAGGAGGAACACGGGGAACATTAAAGAAACCAAAAACATCGAGGTACTCGAGTTCGTTGGGGGCGAAGTTGCGGGCGGGCATTGTCAGGAGTGGTGGCCCGGGCTGGTGGCTCTCGCCAATGCCATTGTCGGCGGGTGATTCACGTGGTTGCCGCGAGATTAAAAAGTCCAGGTCGAATGCACAGCGACGCATATCGGCGAGAATCTTGATTGTTGATGGTGTGGATCGTTCTCCGTCTATGGCGATGGATTGCTGATACTCATTGTACTCGTCCAGGACGCGCTGAAGGATGCTGCTGTATCGCTCGGCGACTCTCCAGTATTTTCCTAGCTGAAATAGAGTATCCACGAAAAACATGATATCGGGGCTGACGGTGTGTGCAATGGTTGAGCCGTGGACGAGAAGTAGGCGTGCTGACACCCAGAGAGTGAAGGCGAAAGGAGGGCCCATCTTGTCTAGCATGTTGTGCTCTACAACGAACCTTGTTACCGATAGAATGTTTTCGACAGCTAGGAGGCATCGCTGGCTGGCACTATATGAAGGCGTGAAGATTGGAGATCGGGTCGTCGGGTATGCTGCTGAGGAGTGCAGACGAATCACAGCTCTAGATTAATTGATTCGTTAATTTATTGGAACAGAACGATAAAGATGTGGCCCACTCACGTTTGATAGGTTGCATGCAACTGCACCCAATCGTTATGTACAGCCCGGCCATTCTTGGGCCCACTAAAGAGTCGGGACGAGTTTTCGTAGGCATATTCCGCTGGGAGATTGAACTCCCAGGATGTGAGCTCGCTGTCGAGTTTGCGATAGGTAGCCTGCCATTCTGCGACATCGGACAGAGCTCCAATATCCACGGGCCGTTTCAAAAACAGGTGAATCCGCGAGAGGATACCTAAGATTTCGATATAGAGACCGAAAGACCCAACGTTTTCAGCTTTACTGAGATAGTCTACACGGTCACTGGAGCATTGAAACCACCGCGTCTCAACTGGCTGGTTCTTCATAAAATAATCGTCCTTGCAAGGAAGTTTGCGGTCGATATCTCTGTCATCCAAGGCGAAATTGAACGCAGTCGCCAGGGTGGAATATCGATCTAGTAGGTAGACCATCCAGAACAAACGGCGTCTACTCTCATCTTCAATCCAAGATTCTGGCTCCGAAAGAGTGACAGCTCTCAGAGTATAGATTGAGGGATAGAGAGGGTTGATAAGAGAAGACTTTGATTCCACCGCCAACCCTAGGTGAACTACAGATCGGGTGATCAGGGCAAGGAGCTTCCAACCCGGTGGGCCATTAGAAGACCCAACCAAATCAAGAGCTAGAATCACGAGTGCCTGAAGTGCTCTGACGGAAGAATTTTCCAGGCCATACAGGACGACCTTTTGTTTGGACGAGTCATGATAGCGCTTTCTGTTTTGGTCATTAAGCCTGTTATCAGAGGAAAAACGCAGAGTTGTTGCCACAATTGCATACAGCACCATTCGGTCTGCCTCCTCTAGTGGCGATGGGCCAAAAAAGGTATCCAGAGTTGTTCGTCGGTGGAGGATTGGGCACCAGGAATTGATATGTTCGAAATAGAGATCTACCAAAGCATAGAGCAAATCATATGGTGGCAGATCTAGATCAGGATCAGTAAGAGATTGCTCTTGATTTGAGTATACATTGACGGGGACCTTCAGGGACGATTCGTTTCCTGAATAATCGTGATGTGCGTTTTCGTTATGTACCAACTGGCCAACTGGTGCCGTTGACAAGTCATGTTGCAGGTGATTATGTGAGGTGTCCCTCACAGAGCCATCCGATGGACTATTGGTAGAGACATCCGCATGGCGTGAGAGTATAGTAGCAGCAGACCCAGGGTCGTTGAAGTAAAGAGCCGTACTAGGACTGGGTCCGTGGACTGCCGACGGCTCGGATGAAGGGCTATATGAAAGATGCCCTGCATGGGCTAATTTGTGACCCATTGAAGGCTGGCTTTGCAGAATATGCACCTCGATAAGCCGAGCTTGCGATTGGATAATACCTTCCAATCGATCTGAGGTACGAGTGAGACATGAGACAGATGACGAGCAGACTGTACAACAGCTTACCAAGCCGTTGCTCTAACTCCTTTCCATAGCCAGCTCTCAGCCCAGGCTTCTTTCGTTCCCTATATTCACATAGCTGGCCATTTCGGGTACACCAGCCACAGCTCGGTTGTACTCGGTCTAGGTTTGTCAATGTTAGAAACAAAATATTTGTTTAGGATGCTTTTACACCATACCGCATTTAACCTTTCGCTGCTTGCACAGTTCACATCTAGGTAGGGTTAGTCGGGGTTACGTTCCATACGAACGAGCCGCCAGGTACGCACGAGACAGTGAGGGGGCGTTTTCGTTTCAAGGCTCTTGTAGAGCCATTGAGTTCAACATGATCATTATCAGAATCCGAAGAATACTCTGCACTCTGATCTCGGGATGGGTCACCGAATTGCTGATTGGAGGACAGTGTCTCCTGTGCGGGAAACGCAGTGTTCGGCATTTTGATTTAGCGAGATAACAATTCGCCCTATCAGGGACCGAGCATGATGCAAGGCCGATTCACGGCAAGTTGTCCGAATAGACTGGAATACCTTGGTATATTTTAAATAAAGGGAGCCTTGCAATGTTCTCCACGATAGTGGTTAGCATTCAACCCGAGGGAAAGGGAAAGAAACCGAAATGGTCGGCTCGTGGAGCCAAGGCCTCAGGCAGAAACCGGGGGACCCCGCATTCTCCGCTTTTGGTGTTCTCTTGGCTCTATTTTTCGACTTCTATCTCTTTGATATTTGAATAGGATCTAGTAAATAATAGCTGATCCTATTTGTAATAGTATCTTCCCATTTTTTATACTGGAAAAGGGGAGTGCGCAAAGAGTTCAACCGAAATCCCTGGTCAAGGAGAGTTGCAAGTCTTACTTCTATAGTCACTAGTTTACCATAGAGCTATTGCTGAAAACAAACCGTGAGCTCTGTACATAAAGTACTTTTTCCTTCGATCTTATTCGTTAACTTAAACGGGCACCATACAGACATACAACATAAAAGTGGCTTCGAATCCTATACCCTCGCTATGTACATATCAAGCGAATTTCATCCAATTGAATGTCGACAGCTACTAACTCTTTGCGGCACTTACTGCCATATTGTCAGCATGTTACTAGAGAAATCCGCCAGCTCCAAGTAGACTGCTTAAGGACCCAGAGTCCGTTACAACGCCGTTTAAGACTACACCCTTTAACGATTTAGACCTCATCATCCCGTGAGGCCCGTGGCACTCAGGTCGACTACCTACCAATAGCGGCCGCAGCAACATATTTCTAGATTTCCAGATTCTTCCAATGATTTTGAAGAGCAGTACGGACTTTGAAGGATGCAAGGCTCAGAGATAAAGACAATACGTGCCTGTTTGCTATGTCGTTGACACAATGCTTAGACGGGGAGCTTTAAGAAGTAGGATCTCAAGAGCATTTTTATCCACTCCACATAGCCTGGCATAAATCAACTAAACATGTGTTATCGCAAATTGTCCTAGTCGCCGTTTGTCCGTCTCTCGGGTTAGCAATGCCCCGAGCTGGCCTCGGCTTCTGGAATTCGTTGAAATAGACGTGAATCCCCCGCAATTGTTGGATCTCTACTTTTCTTTCTTTATCTTTTCGTCTAAACAATTATTGCGTTCTTTCGTTAGACTTGTTCATTTCATACGTCATGGGTTCAACAACGGACTTTCCCCGCATTAAGGAAGTCCGCACCTTCATCATTGATGGTGTGGGCTCTGGCGGTGATTACCACAATGTAAGAGCTATGAGATGTCAATTGTCGTGAAATTTGATATGCTAACTATCGATACAGGTCAAGGGAGGCCACTGGCTGGTCGACAGCAACATCGCTACCCCTATGAGCAAGTGGGCACAATTCCGTGGTTCGCGAACATCATGGGGAATCAATGTTTTAGGATCTTTCTGTGTGGAGATTGAGGCCACTGATGGAACCAAGGGCTTTGCAACTGGTTTCGGAGGCCCGCCTGCATGCTGGCTGACCCAGCAACATTTTAACCGCTTCCTGGTTGGCGCGGGTATGTACACCATCTCACATACATAGAATAATGGATCTTTCTGACGAACTATATTTCTAATAGACCCCCGCGACACCAACGACCTCTTTGAGAAGATGTACCGCGCCTCGATGTTCTACGGCCGCAAGGGTCTGCCCGTCGCCGTGATTTCGGTCATTGACCTGGCTCTGTGGGATTTGCAGGGCAAGATCCGCAAAGAGCCCGTCTACAAGCTGATCGGGGGTGCTACTCGAACCCGATTGGACTTCTACTGCACCGGTCCCCAGCCTGGCTCCGCAAAGGCTGCCGGCTTCATCGGCGCCAAGGTGGCATTGCCACACGGTCCTGACGAGGGTACTGAGGGCCTTTTGAAGAACGTTGAATACCTGCGTCAGCAGCGCGAGAAAGTTGGTGCCGACTTCCCACTCCGCGTGGACTGCTACATGTCCTTGAACGTCCCCTACACAATCCAGCTAGTCAAGCGCTGCGAGGCTATTGGACTCGATATTGACTGGTGGGAGGAGTGCCTTTCACCCGATGACTTCGACGGCCACGCGCTCCTCAAGCGTGCCCACCCCACTGTCAAGTTTACCACCGGCGAGCACGAGTACTCCCGCTACGGCTTCCGCAAGCTGATTGAGGGCCGCAACGTTGACATCCTCCAGCCCGATGTGATGTGGGTTGGTGGAATGACCGAGCTGCTGAAGGTCGCTGCCATGGCTGCTGCTTACGATCTTCCTGTTGTGCCCCACGCATCCGGTCCCTACTCGTACCACTTTGTCGTCTCCCAGTCCAACAGTCCCTTCCAGGAGTACCTTGCCAACTCTGCCGATGGCCACACTGTCGAGCCTGTGTTTGGTAACCTTTTCTTGAACGAGCCCATTCCTACTAAGGGATATCTTGACGTCTCGATCTTGGACAAGCCTGGGTTTGGTCTGGAGCTCAATCCTGCTGCTCCCCTGATCCCTGCTGCCGCTATCCTTACGCCAGCGCCTCAGAAGTCCCTACGCGCACCCGACAACGAGGAGTTGGCCAATGGCTCTGCGTAATATTGATGGTTTGAGGGGTTTCTTCGCTGTTTTTATTTGTGATATATTTCATGTTTATAAGTTACTTACGCACTATACGAGAGTCATGTACATACACATCGGATTTTAAGATCCTTGAAATCCCATCTCATGTCCCTTCCTATACTTATTATCATTATATTGTACAGGATTTTCCGTGTTTTTCGCGTTGCGATACACAAGCGAGAACGAGCCGAGTTGAACTCTTTCGTTTCATGTCAAAACTCCAAATCTTCCTGTATAAATCGTAACAAGGAAGCTTCCAAGGGCCAAGGGTCGATAATGCTTTCGACACTTGCTAGCTAGTCATTATTCTACTGGAAAGAGGAAATGTACTCCGTAGCCGGATACACTGCGGGGTTTCCCCACACTCGGGGTAACATCACCACGAAATCCCGAGCTCGAGAGATCACGTATTCGGCCCAAGTGAGAATGGGAGAATTGGGAGAGTTGTGAATGATCAATGTCCATTCTCAACATCTTCAATGACTTTCCCACAATTACTAGTTGGCAAAGTCGCCGCCATCACTGGTGGCCTCACAGGCATCGGACGGGTATGATTTCTCATTTGGATTCAGGAAAACAAGAAAAACACACTAACTCAATTACAGGCAATCGCCCTTGATTACATCCGTCACGGAGCCAAAGTCTCCATCAGCCACCTCGGCGGCGCAAAAGAAGACGCGCTGCTAGAAGCACTACGCAAAGACGTGAACGAGATCGAAGCCGAAGCAGCCAAGACCCGCTTCCTCACGGTATCCGGCGACATTTCGCAGCCAGAAACAGGCCAGAACTTCGTCGCAAAAACCGTCGAGACATTCGGTCGGCTAGATGTATTCGTGAGCAACGCAGGCGTGTGTCAGTTCGCCGAATTCCTAGAGTGAGCTATATCCATTTACAATTCACTCTTCTTCTCCTCTCTAACGACCCCGCTAGACTCGAACCTTCCCTCTTGAATCACACACTCTCGACGAACCTCTCTGGCGCATTCTACGCCACCCAAGCTGCAGCCCGCCAAATGGCACTGGTCCAGTCACCATCGGGCGGGTCCATCATCGGCGTGAGCTCCATCTCCGCTCTGGTCGGCGGTGCCCAGCAGACACATTACACCCCCACCAAGGCCGGTGTGCTGAGTCTTATGCAGTCATGTGCGTGCGCGCTCGGCAAGTATGGTATTCGGTGTAATGCGCTGCTGCCGGGGACTATCCGGACGCAGCTTAATGAGGAGGATATGAAGGACCCTGTCAAGAGGAGTTATATGGAAGGTCGAATTCCGCTGGGCAGACTTGGTCAACCACGGGATCTGGCTGGGCCGGCTGTTTTCTTGGCTTGTGAGGAATTGAGTGGCTATGTGACTGGTGCGCAGTTACTGGTTGATGGTGGGTTGTTTGTCAACCTACAATGAGGATATATATAGTTGTTTCTTTTTCTTGAAGTCCGAGCAAGTGACCTTGCATTTCTATGTTTCATACCTAGATCTCTATACCATAAGCATGCAAAGCAACAGATCCCCAGACACCCCTCTTTTGTTCCTCAGATAATCCTCTCCGTTCCAAGACCTCTTCCACCACGCGTCTCCATCTACCCCAAGAAACATTATTCCCACCACCGCCAATATTGCACACCGGCCAATCCGATCCAAACATAACACGGTCGGCCCCGAAAGCGTCAAAAATAACATCCGTCCACGGCTGCACACGTTCAACAATTGCCTCGAAATCCGGTTCTGACTCCGCCTCTAGCGGTAGAAGCTCCGAAAAAGCCCCAGAAAGCTTCATATAAGTCCTAGAACTCGCCCTCGCCATCTTAGTCACAAGATTCTTCCACTCAAGGAACTCCGGATGAGAGCGAATATTATCCGACTCCAAACGAAGGTTAGGCTTGCACAGATGGTCTATAGCAGTCAGCAAGAAGAACCCCAAATCGAAACCCAAACCTCAAAAGGCAAAAAAAAGAAAAAACATACTAATAACAATCGTAACCCCATCACCCCCCTCCAACCCCCCATAAACCAACCCCATCATCTCAACCGCCTCCCTCAACTGTCCCAACCCACCAGACCTAGCATCAACCCCAAGATCAAAAACAAACCCTTCCCTCCCCAACCACCTCAACCCAGCAACAAACCCGTTCCCCAGCATCGTCCCCTCAGCCTTATCCTGCACCAAATACCGAACCCCCCTAACCTTCCCCCAAACCTCCTCCCCAGTGCGGCGGCGAACCTGCTCCATGTACGCGCTCAGCACATCCGGCCCACCGGGCACAGGCGCCCACGGCACAATCCCCAGGCAGAGCGTTTTGTCGTGCGGGACGTGGCCCTCGCCTGGGATTGGTGTGCCGAGGGCTATGCGTGTTAGGAGGGAGACTTCGTCCAGGGCGTGTTGCCAGCCGTGGTTGGGTGGTTTGGTTGAGTCGGTGATGGAGGAAAGTCGGTCTGTTTCGAGGAATATGAAGCCTTGGAGGATGGGCGTGGCGTTGGCTTGTGTTGTTGCGTGTCGGTATTCGTTTACGCTGTGTTGGGTTCCGAGTGGGTTGTTGGCATTGTGCCAGGATAGGGTTTTTAGGTGCGTTTTTGGGAAGAGGTGGATGTGGGAGTCCACGATTGGGATTTGGGTATTTGGTGCCATGGCTTGGGGTTGTTTTGTGTTTTGGTGCTTTGTTTTGTGTTCTTTCTCTTGTTGCGCTTGGCTTGGAATATCCTATTGTGGAAGTCAAGTTGTAGATGCTTGGAAGATATGCGGGGCTGGTTATTCGTACAAAGTACGTCTGCTGTCTGATTCTGGGTTGTTTTAAGACGTTCATAGACTAAAGTAATATGTTCGGGAGAATGTTAAAATCCTCAAGTCAATGAGAGCTAAAGCTCGGTGGTTCTTGCCCCGAATTCAGACCTTAGTGGAGACAGTAAGTTCAGGCCTAAAAAGAGATTAGAAGATGAAAACGCGTTTTAGCTATTGAATTCCATGTAAATTCTACAGAACTACACCATCAGAGTAGTACTATATATAGGACAGAAAGAAATTCATATGCACGAAAAAGGATCAGGTATACATACACCAAGTGGATAACACCACGAGGGCAAAAAGGGAATGCATCAGGAAACATAAGAGGCAAAAACACAGCAGCAGTAACAGAGGCAAGGTAAAAGGGAGATGAACAATCCCCTCTGCGGTAACATAGCAGAAGGGACAGGGTATGTATGCATGCATGCTTAAGAGGCATGCAGTAAAAGTTCAAGTTCAAAAGGAGAAACAAAAGACAAGAAAAGATAAAGGTAACGTTCCAAATTGTCACTCGCCAAGTCGTCTTCGCCATGATCAGAGAGCAACAAAGATGTGAGTGGAATGTGATGCGATAATGCATGTTTCCTCCCAGCACGATATACTGCTCCCAGTCTGATCTGTACAAGATTTCCTCCGCATCCACAGGTCCTCAGAACTAGTCGTCCATAGGCTTGTCCTCCAGAGTGACTCGGTTGGGTTCACTTTCAGCGATGCTGCTTCGATTGCTCTCTGTGCCACTGGCCCCGACAGCCGAGCCAGTGGGGAAGCTGGACAAGCTACCAAGGCCTGGCTTGCGGCTGGATCGAGCGCCAGAAGAGCGGGACATCGAATTGCGCTTCTCAAACTCGGCGGATGTTGCAGCCGGAGTAGGAGTAGGAGTTGGGGAGTCATCGGAGGCTGTGTCCTCGAAAGGAACAGGAGGAGGGCTTGGGGAGCTCGAGTGGGTGCTGCTGCTGGCAACAGCTGAGGAAGGAGACTCAGTATAGGTGCCGTTGGTAATAGTCTCGGCAACTTGAGTGTTCACGGTAGGAGCATCCTCAGGTTCGGCCTGGAGAGCCTTGTTGGGCGGTACATCAAGACTACCGCGGGCGGATCTGCGATCTGAAGGGCTGCTGACGTTGATCGGGAACCGACCTATCTCGGAAGCACCGCTCGAGCGGTCACGTCGATGCCGTTGGCGATTGACAGGACTGGTTGCCCGGCTGCGGTTGACAATAGCTCGCTGGCGGGCCTCCATCGCCGCACGACGATTACTCTCATCCGTGCTGATGGCCCGTGGACGGTTGGAGGAGGAACTGGTCATTCCGAGCGCACTCGATTGGCGCTTCAGTTCGCCAAATATGGAGTCCTTGTGAGCAAACAGATCACGGATCAGGCGGTAGCTGTGGCGCTCGTTCATAGTGAGACTGCTCTCTATGCGAGGGCGGAGAATGCAAGGAGAAAATGCCTGTGCCAACAAAGTGATGTATTCTTCGTCGGCCGAGGTCAAATCAATCAGGCGCGTGAAATGAGTCATAATGGCATCAAGCGTAGCGATATTGACAAGGCGGAGTTGCCCAAGGGTACTTTGGAGAACCTTGATCCGCCCTTCTTCCGTGGTCTCATGAGCAGTGGTCGAATAAATCGTTTTCACGATCTCGTAAACTTGCGAGGAAACCAATGAGTCTATCCGGGGATTAGCATAAGGATATATCAAGCCACCAAGAGAGCAACGAACCTGGCAATTCAAGAAGGTACAATCTTAGAACGCTTGCAATAACTGGAATTCCGAATTGAGGCAACACCTCGGCATAATCGGCTTTGCTGTTGTTCAAAATTTGACGAAGCTTGTGCGTCGTGCCCAAATCAACCTCGGTCAACCAGATCATTCGTCGTGCTTCATCGCCTTCAAGTTCAGGGTAGCCTGCAAGATTTGTGAGCGTGGTCCAGAATCTGAATGTATGCCATGAATTTCTTACGGTTATCGAGGTAGGTCAGAATGGTGGTCACCAGGATTGGAACACGTTTGCGGTCGGCACGGGCTCTAGCTTCAAGGTCGACACCAAAGTTTTGTTCTGGTGGAGTTAAAATTAGTAACTTTTCATCTCTGGGCAATGACCAAGGCTGTACCTTCAACGGAACCATAGTAGTTCTCGTATGCTTGGATCTTAGGTACGAATCCACCAGTGCGGTAGTTCTCTAGCAGGTATCTCAAGTCGCCTAGGGGCTGAATTGTTTCCTGGTATAGCATCATATGATCCACTGTGCTCTGGAGGTTGGGAATGACATTGCTGATCGCGCCCGAGAAGTCAAGAACCACGGCTTTGATGGCCTTGAGACGGTCCAGCTCGCACTGTTCCATGTATTTGAGCTGGCCAATGACTTCTTCCTCCAGCCGGCAGCGGATCTGGTCAAGCTTACGAACGGCAACCTTGTACCGTTCATCAGCTTCCAAAGCCTCCCTTCGGAGCTTCTCTGAGGGTGTCTCGTTCGGGTAAGGGTTGTTGAGGGGATTCCAACCAGACAGCATCTCGGAGACAGATGCAATAGGCGAGTCGCTGCCGTTGCCATCCTCGCTTGACGCCACCGAGGTGACACGCATGAGAGGCTTCTTTTTTCTGGGATACCGGTGAGTTGGAAGACCTTTGGGCGCCACTGATATTTCATCTTGGAGCTATTGGCAAAGACATTGCCCATATTTCCAATCAAGCGAAGAAGACCGTTGTCTACCATATCCTGACCAATTATCTCCACTTGAGTGAGATTCTCAGCCTCCATGTAGGTTTGAATATATTGCGCAATATCCGCGCCCGTGGATACATTCTGATAAGTGCCGATAATGGGAACCTTCGCCTCGCCAAGCTTGATGTTATCAATCATATGGGTGAGAAGTTTTTTGATGTGGTCTGGTGGGAATATCCGCTCACCCAACTCGATGGGGTCTTCGTCGGGCTCTTCCTCGGCAGGGAGAACGATCTTCGGGGGAACTTTGATCTTGGGGCTCGTCTCAGGGTCTTGGAAAGCAAGTTTGTTCTCTTCTTCCAGGTCTTCAACCACACGACACTTGTTGAAGTAAGTGCTGCGCAGTTTCCTTACCAGCTCCGCCTGCTTGGTATGTTCCTTGATGCGGCCCTGGAGCGCGTCATGCGAATACTGAACACGCATTTCGTGCTGGTCGCTCCAACGCCGGAAGGGCGACACGACCAATTCGCGGATATTGTTGGCGATCTTCTGGTGGTTCTTCGAGGCCTCGACCATTTCGGTACGGATTCCTTCGTAAGCCTGTAACGAGGATCGCGCGACGTCAGTCTTTCTTCACTCCGGTCTCTATGCGTCTGAAACAAACCTTTCTGACACTGGCACCATCGTCCTTGCCGAATCCCAGCGCCGTCATCTTATCCACGCTCGGGGCAATGTCTCCCATGCGGAGTCCATACTGCTCTTCTGCATCTGAACGCATGGATGCAATGGCCAAAATCTGTTTGTTTTCCACAACTCCCTGCTGCAACTTCCCGTACAGCACCCCCAGGCCCGAAGCATAGTCGGGGGTCCAGAAAGAATCCGCGAAACCAGGCATTATGACGGACGGCTAAAAGGCTGATTCAGACCGTCAGGCGGAGACACGTTATGATCGGCGTAAGAAGGGAAAGCGACCCGGCAGCTGACAGCGATGAGTTCGTATGTTCGGAGGAAAACGCGAATCGTAAAATGGCGGAGTAAGCGCGAAACGGAGAGTCAATCGGAGTCGATGAGGCTCTGAGTTTGCGATATGATCAAAGCCACCGAGGGAGGGCCAGCTGTCTTGGTTTTGAATTCAATGTCCAGTCTTAACACGGGACGGAGCTGCGCATAGACCAAAACACCAATGACGAAGCAGAGACGATCACTTTGGAATGCGAGAGAATAGAGTGCGCAGGGTGTTAGGCGCCGATATCGCGGATGAATTCGAAGCTAAAATGAGCGAAAGCCAGGCCAAGCGAATTGCGATGCAAGTCGTCAGGAAGCTGGCAACAAAAACAAAGAAAGACCGAAATGGGAAAGACGAAGATGGAGATAGAGATGGAGTTTGATGGAGTTCATGGATTTCCAGATCGTAGGGCGTCACATGTGGCTCGTAATATTACGGGGATTTGCGTACATCTCAGACCATTACCGCCTAACAAGCGTCCTTTTGGCTGACAACCCGACCTCTCCCCACCGTCTTTGCATCCACTTTGGGCTATTTTTGGGTTGAAAATTACGCCGGGGTGGTAATTTGCTGCAAATCTTTAAATTTGGCTGTTTTTTCATGCTGAGAGAAAAAAAGGGGGAGGGGGGAGGAGTGTCTTGTCTATTTTTTGTTTACAATTGAATTGCGCATTGACTTTACATTGTGGCTGTGAGCCTGGTAGGCTAATAATAACTATACATTCAATCAAAATGTATTAGAAAATACAGATGTATAGCCCTAGAGTGCAATAGTACTATGTATAACTACCCTACCCCTATGTTGTCAGCCTTGTTATGCCCAGATGCCTGACTTGACTTCTGAGTCTAAACGCTTCCCCACAGATATGCCAAGCCTGGAGGCTCGAGATTATAGTACGTGCTACGGAGTACGGAGTAGTGTCTTGGAAATTGTTAAAAATAGGGTATGCCCTTTGGAATGTATGAACGTTTCGTATGATATTCATAGCGCAATTATGGTATCGTAAAGATGTAGTACATAAGGGGGGATGTCGAAAGAAAAAAAAGATAAAACATCCGCTTAACAGAAGAACTTGTAAACCTTCTTCCACTTGGGCCATTCTTTTTGCTCGGCCAATTCCTGCTCAACCAGATGTTGGATATCAAGATCGCGACGACCGGTGTCCAAATCCACCTCTAAGGATTTCACAAACTTGCACCTGTAATAGATCTTGTAACCGACGTAAGAAACCAGAACCACGGGAGCGGCCAAGTAGACGGAGAAGAAATTGTAGGCAATCTCCTGGGAAGTCATTTCTCCGTAACCAATGGGGGCGAAACCAACCCAGAACTGGGCAATCAGCACGAGAATGTTGAAGATGAGACCGACCCACGAGCCAATAACACCGGGCTGGGAACGGAATGCAAGCTCATCCAAGGTGTGGCCCTGCTTCTTCCACGCGCGACGGAAGAGGATGTGGGAAGCACAGATGGAACCCCAGGTGAAGATAGATGACAGACCCGAGATGGCCATCATCCATTCGAAGGCGGTCGTCTGCACATCGGAGGCGGCGAGGTAGCAAAGCAGACCCAAGGCAGACGCGATAATAGTGGCGGGTAGCGGACGACCCTTGCGGTCGATGTAGGCGAGGAACTTGGGGGCTTGGCCCTGCTCGGCAAGGGCAGCAAGAGTACGCGAGGATCCGTAAACGGAGGAGTTACCGACAGAGAGGACCGCAATCATGATGACAACGTTCATGATGGAAGGCAGAGCCTTGATTCCTGCGTTCTCAATGGCGATGACGAAAGGAGAGGCCTTGGCGTCGGCGGAGGAGGAACCGCTGATGAGTTTGGGGTCGTCGTATCTCACCAGGAGGCCGACGAGGGTGAGGGAAACCACGTAGAAGAGAGCAATACGCCAGAAGACCTGCTTAACGGCAGTGGGGAGGGACTTGCGAGGATTGGCGGTCTCGGCGGCGGCAAGACCAACAAGTTCGGTTCCAGCGAAGGCGAACGCAGCATTGACGAAAACACTGCAGAGACCCTTGAAACCGTTCCTGAATGCACCTGGGTCGTACCAGTACCTGGCGCCGATGTATCCACCTTCGGGTCCACCACCGCAGTTGAGGATGATTCCTAGGATACTAATAGTCAAGTCAGTTAGACGTTCATGTTCCACATAACAGCAATGTAGCTTACATGAAACCAAGCACGGCAACGACCTTGATGATGGAGAAGACGAATTCGGCTTCACCATATCCTCGGACACCGAACATGTTGATTGAGACAATCACAACCCAGAAGATAGTTACCCAGGCAGCGTTTGAAACACCTGGATTCCAGTAATCGACTGTGATGGAAGCGGCGACAATCTCCAAGGGTAGGACAATGAGCCACTGAAGAGCGTAATTCCAGCCCATAGCAAAACCCCAAGCAGGATCCATGAAACGAGTCGAATAGTGGGCGAAAGAACCGGCAACGGGGAAAAGAACAGCCATTTCGCCCAAGGCGTGAACTGTACAGTAAAGCATGCATCCGATCAAAATATAGGCGATCAGTACTGAGGCTGGACCACCGACGGCCAAAACAGATCCGGAACCAACGAAAAGACCAGTACCTACATAGTGAATGGAATTAGCGAGACCGAATAGGACGGAGAAGAATTAGTGCAGAACATACCGATAGAACCACCGATGGCAATCATCTGCAGATGACGACCCTTCAAGTGTCGCTGCAGCGGTGAGTGGGCAGTGTTATGGGCGGCGGCAGCCTCGACATCCATGGCAGTTCCATCAGCTCCAGGAGTACTGAGGACATGGTTGGGGTCTCTCTTGAAGCTGTCAAGGATTCGTCGGCCCATGCTTCCTCGCGTTAGAGATGAGTCGCCATAGGATGGGGGAGCATCCGATCCAGTCTGGACGGTGTGCTCCTCAAACTTCTTCTCATCCATGGTGAGAATGTGAAATTTTTCTCTTCTGAAGTGGGTATTGTTCAGAACAGAAATAAGTATCTGGTCGCTGAAGCTGAAGGCTCTGTGGGATTTGAGGTCAATGAACCGACACAGAGGTGAAACAAGTAGAGGTTTGACCGTTTGGGAGGGGGGGGAGGGTATAAATACAACCAGTCCGATTTCAGATAAAAGCGATGGAATTATTTTTACGTTCCATATAATCAAATCGAATCAAATTAAATCAAAAGCACCTAAATCTATCTGCTTTCATGCGCTTAGACCATCTAGAGTTTCGCACTAACAGCATTTAATCTTCTGATAACCTTGGCATGCTCTGGGTCCCGAGTCCGCGACTAGGCAATTTATCTTTTTAATTAAGATTTATGATGCATTTGTACTCCTTACTCTGTGTTCTTCGAGGCTATGAGTTACACACGATCCTGATCATGATTCATACATATGCAGTGAGATACCCTTGCAAGGCTGCAAACGGTCAAGTTCAAGTTCCTAAGATAAGCCCGCTTGATCCTGAGGTGGAAGCTCCATAGTGTTTCACCCGACTATCTTATTGTTTTAGAGCAAAAAGGTAAAAAAGGTAAAAGCGAAATAGTAATTATTGCAGGTGGAACCCCGGTAGCGCCACTACTTATCTATCTCTCGCGTGATTTAGACTGTCATAACGGGACGGGAGGATCTACCTCATGGATGTCTAATATCTACACCTCCCTAGCTTGACTATCGCCATGACCTGACTCGTAGTACATGACTACATGAATACATGCAATCATACTAACAACCCTTGAACGACTTCATCTGGTTAATATTCTGTAGGTGGACAGGGAAAAGCCAAGCTTCTGGAGCCCGAAAGAGGCAACTCCCCAGATCCACTAAGCCCCATCTGTCAGTCTCTCCGCACTCTACCCGTGGACGATAGTCGATCGTTGCCCAATCAGAGAAACCTCGGGAGATAAGAGCACACCTGGGCACATCCCTTTCCCCCGGACCTCCACCGGGGCAACCTTGGAACCTTGGAACGAGTCCTCCATAGTGTCCGCGAGTTCCAAGGTTTCCTCTTCTCGTCCTTCTAGAAGACCTTTATCTCGCAGAACCGACATTCTAAGTTTGGAACGAGATAACCTTACTTGGGGAGAAACATACTCACACTACTGAGCTGACCAGTGGACGGCAGGGGAATTCCTCTCGTCGCTCATCCCTTGCCTATGGGAAGGCTTCCCGACGGACCCCGTTCCTGTGGCATGCGCTATGGGCTACAGGGATATGCGTGCAATGCCATATGGACGAGGAATTCGCCCCACTGAGGCTTGTTCGCAAACTTGCCTCAATTGAGTTTTCCTGGCCGTCGCCTCGGTATAGCCTCTTGGCTTGTGTGTGTTGTATGTGCGCAGAAAGGCAGACGATCGATTGCGGACATTCGAAACCGCCTCGGTCGGGTTCGCTACTAGAGACTGGCATGAGCTCTGGTGGGGATGAGGGATGGCGCCACGAGACCCTGTAGGCAAACTCTATGCGTCGGCGTTTTCGACGCGAAGGTTTTTACGTGGCTGTGGCGGTCTGTGATATGCATGGAAGCACGGGAGAAGCCTCCCAAAAAGCCAAGAGTGTGTGCCAGGAGGTTCATTATACAACATAGACTCGTGTAATGATTGGCCTGATGTCGGCGCGTTCAGCAAGACCCTCGTATTATCACTGGGCAATTTGCACAGCACCTCGATCAGGATGCCCTAGGTCGGCCAATAGACTTTTGTGGCCCATCCGCTGGATTCGGACATGTCCGTCCAGGAAACATTAATCACATTAATCATTAATCATGGCTAACCGCAAGATCTCAAGGTGTTCACAATCGTGTGACTGTAAACTCGAGAGAAGCTCATTATGGCCAAATTGAAATGTGTAAACGGGCCCACCAGTCTTATCTTGCATGTCCGCATTGCGGGTCAAGCGCATCACCATTTTCTGAGATAGGGAATTTCACGACTTCCAAGGTTTGGTCCATGCAACGCGGTCAGACCATAAGGGGGGGCGAGAAAAAGGCGCACCGTCTTCGGCCTGAGCTGGATTGAGTCTATGCTTGACTATCAGCCACCCAAGCCTTTCCGAGCTGATGGCGCGCAGTAGCTGATTTTACTGGCCACGCTCCCGCAACAGACAGCCACAGTAGCATCGGGCTGGATTGGTAACTAGTTATTTGTGTTCCGGTGACTACAACATAGATGATAGAGCCAAGCCCAACTGTTGAAAGGTCAGCGGCTGCGCCCGGGTTATAATACAACATCGCCTGTATAGGTAGGTGCTCATGTGGAATCGGTTAAATCTACATTCCCCCTTAGACACACCTGGCCACGCGTAGACCTTTCTAAGGTTATTCGTCAAGTTCCAAGGTTGAGCAACAGAAGTCACGGGTAATACCCCGCAAAATGTCTATATTATCCTCGGAGTACTCCGAACATTCACACTTGAGGTTATTCAAGCCGACGAAATTCCCCATAAATAAGTCCAGCCCGGGCCAAACAGCACGCAATGCGCATTGGGATTTTCGCCACCGCCACGGAATGGACAAAGAGACAATATACCATACTCCATACATTTGTTCTAATATTCCTTCTCGGCATCTTCATATTCCCGACAGCCAAGTCGGAAGTTCCCATTCAAGTCCATGAGGCGCTTGATATCCAATAGTTTATCTCACTTCAAGACCCAGCTCAGAAACCCCCATGTTGAACATGACCAGAATAAACAGGCCTTGTCGTAAATACGAAGTCAACATTAGGTACATATAAAATGCGGGGATGACAATCTGTTAGGTAACAGTTTCCACATAACAAGTTGACTAGTCAACTAGTCAGCTTTGGAGTCTGGGGAAAAACAGCACAATGAAACAGCACTGAGATCTTCAGAATGAGAGAATTCGGGGTACTGAAGGTGAATACTCAACGAATATCCATGATTATCCGCAGACGGCTGATACTGCATCTGCAGCCCCCTGACATCCCGTGTGCGCCGCGACCCCTTTTCCTGTCCCTGGCCAAGTGCCACTTTTCCAAGGTCCTAGCAGCCTATTTACTTTAGATTGGCCATTGAAAGATCACATCACGTACGGCGTGTATTATCGTGAGCTAGAGCTGACTCTCGAAAGTGAGCTCTACGGCATGGCACTACTATTAGGCCAGTCTACAACATGTCTAGATCTACCGAATAGGCAGGTCTATAATATATATTATTCATTGAATAATGTACTCTATATGATCACATCCTAATTACCTGCTCGTTAAGGTTCGCCATCATTAATTTCCACTTAACAGCAGTCAACTGACTACAACATAGCCATCGAGCCCGTTAAATGTGGAGTATTTAAAACAATTGCGTCTCTACATCATCCACCATGATATCCACCGAAGAATTGTCCGATCAGCACGCGGCAAACGGCCTTTACTCGTATCGATGAGATGCTTCCAATCTTGTTAATAGCCGGAGCGCGCGGCGCCCGAGGTTAGCCGTTGATACCCTGATCTCGGGTAGAGACGACTTCTGATTGGCGAGCTTATCTTAGACCGCCGGCTGCCGGCTGCCGCTGACTACCGCTGATTATCCCGAGGTCTTTTGTGGGCTACGGAGTAGTTCCTGCATACTCCATACTTGGTCTCGTATATCATTGGAGGTTGCAGCTGGACCCTTTCGCCGGAAGACGCCTAGGCTGTTGCTAGCCATAATAACGAATATCCCTTTTAGGCGAAGCAGACATTCTCTTGGTGTTGACAACAGCTTCTTCCTGTCTTACTTCAATACTGAGCCACACGCTACTGGGATGAGATCAAAATCACGCTTGAAATGGAGCTTCATTCATTCAACGATTTTGTTCTATCTCGTTGGATTTGGTATCATTAATACACAAAGTTTTATTTTCGTCACGGCAAAAACTGGGTATCTCGAGCTCATGAGCTTGCCACGGGGCCTTCACCACCGGGAATCAACTGGTTGAAGAGTTAGTATAGCACCCAGATCGCCTTCAGGTGGGTTTAACCTACCATGCAGATATTGTTCCCATTCAACAAGAGCTTAGGGAGCTTGATTTGAGCACCGGTGTAATCGCTGAGAGGAGGTTAGTCCAGAGCACAATCATAAGAGTGACCTGTCGAGAATTTCGCGCAAATTTGCAAATCAGATGGATATCAACGAGCACTGCGCAGGGGCGTAGGAGCCAAGGCAGCACAGCCACAGAAGGGAAAAGGGTAGCTCGAATCCAGAAATCGAAAAGCCAAGCCACTTACAACTCTGTCACATCTTCCATAACCATGTCTAAATCGAAATTAGTGCCTGTGAGATCGTCACTTCTTATGCAGGGATACTCACTGACGTAGTCGTCGAATCCGAGCAAAGTGCCGGAGAATTCTTCATAAGCATTAGTACAGTTTCGTGCTCAATCATTAAATTTTGAGCTGACCTTTGTCACCCTTCATGACAACCCAAATCCGGGAGCCAACACACTTATCAATGAGCTCTATCAGATCAGTTAGCGGGGTCATGGCTTTCTTGGGTCATTAGGCACGGACCAAGGGGAAGTAGCTGAGAAGCCATGATGTTGGGAGACAGAAAATGAGGGTGCTCGTAATTATTTTCTTAGAAAGCGTCTTGATTTCAAACAAAGGTGATCGAGCATTCCGCGTGGGCAAGATCGATATAGAAAAGGACGTGATCGTTTGTCGCTCGGCACCTCTGATAATCCGACCCGGGAGGCTAAGCCAAATATGGTTTAGAGGAAACTCTGAAAGTTGATTTGCGCGCTCAGAGCTCCGCAACATGGAGTACTATCCTGACCCTCACTCGATTTTCTAGCTACACTTTCGTTTGAGTCACCACTGGTTGTCAATCAATTCGACTGTATTCGATTGTTTTGTGGGGCTCCAGACTGGTCCACTATGCTTGTCATACATTATGCCAATTCGGCCGAATCTCTTAGCAAGTCGGAAGACCCAATCTTCAATTGCAAAACATAGCGGTCACATCGATGGATCCAGATCCCATGGGTCACTGCGATTAGGGCTTTTCGAGCGTCAGCGGTAAGCACCCTTCATTTCCTTTTCAACTTTGGTAGCTATTTTTCTAACTAAACTACAGTGCTTGCGCCCGATCTGTCCCAAGGCTCCGACATGTGTCTTTACCGAATACAAGCTCCTCGTACGCCCCGCCCACGGCCTCTCAATCCAAGCGGAACTTCTGCAATACCACTCGCAAAGAAGGCATATGGGATGACGATGATGATGTTCCAGAGCCAAAGCCCGTATCAAAACCGGTACAAGGGAATCCAGGCCGGCCTGCTTTTGTGCGCCCTGTCCAACATCGAGACTTAGGCAGCTTGATCCGATCGAGAGTAGAGGGGAAATCCCGAGTCTCTCAACGTCTGCACATTGAGAAGGAGCTTAATTCGCTACCTTCTTATCAGGAACTGGTTGGGAGTTATATCCAGTTGAAATACAAACGTGCCGATGATCTTCTTGATGAATCCATCAAGGCCATACTAGCCTATGAGGCTGAATATGGAGCTCTCGAATCAATATTTCAAAGTCGAATCAATGATGTGGTCTCACGGATAACAAAACAGGTTCTCCATGCCGAAAAAACCACCCAAGAATGTGCGACTGAATTGGAAATCCTGTCAAGTACCATCACCGCGAGAATTGTAAGGATGGTCTCAGACAACACGAATTTAGTTCTGCAAACAGAGAAGATCACTCAAAAATATATCGCTGAAGTGATAGAGCTTTCATCTTCCATAATGGGATTGGACCGACTACAGGCTGCTGTCGCGGAAGCAGAGAAGACCGGTCGAATGATTGATCATGGTTTCTGCTGTATTGTTTTTGGTAGAACTCCAGAATGGGAAAGCCAGCTGGCAATGTCCGCCCAGAAGATCCATAGTTGGCAGAAGTGTCTTCATACGTCTCAAAAGACACTCCTTGCACCTATGGTTCATCTTTCCGAGCTGTCCATCCGTCGGTTGAAAAATTATCTCGACAAGGATTTCCTACGACCCCGGAATGTCGCAAGAAAACAAATTGATAGAATTCTTCATCAAAGCAATCTGATTCAGAAGAACTACGTTGAGTTACGACTGAAGAGCGATAACACACGAATTTTTCCTATCAGGGACCTTTGCTCGTCCCTTCAAGCACGCTCGAACCTTCGCGCAACCGATAAATGGGTGTTTGGCCAGTACAAAGAAATCCTTGAGCATAGTTATCTCGAAATTAGTAAATGTGCGCATCACCACCGTGCATATTGGCTCAGGAGGCAGATGGCTTCGCATCCACTTCGACACAGTGAACTATGGAATTTGAGGGATTTCATGACGGCAGTTTCGTCCGCACGTTCTCCTGAAGCTACTGACAGGCGGGTCTTACTTGCCCTTGCGCTGGGTGCCCCGAAGGACTCCCCGGAGGCTCGGTACTTAGACGAAAGTCCACTCCTGATATCCAACAAGATCTACCTCGAATACAACCAGCTTTGGAGGCCAAACCCGCCACGCAGCCCTAAGCTACATATCTACTGGCGACAGTTGGATGTAATAGCGCCGCTGCTCATGACTGAAGTTGTCACATGGGGACTTCAAAATGAAGTTTGGTACCTTTACCACAGCCTCAGAGGTGATAATGGGGAATTGTGGACTAGGGTCTCTGGGCAGACTCGGGTGTCCACTGTTTCAAAAATAGCCGACTGGTGTATAGAATTCCAGAAACATCGCAGCGCTCTTCGACAGATGGTGTCTGAATACATACATCTAAACTGGCTGCGTCTTCGATCGGAATCATTGCTACGCTCAATGAAACAACGTGTCTATCTTGCTGGAAAGTTTCAAGTGCTCAACCCAATGAGTCAGGATACCCGTGCCTTCAAGAAATGGACCGATCGCATGGGCCAGCTCGCTTGTGAGGCCTATATTCCCTTGATGGCCAGCCGACTGACGCGACCGGAGTGGGAGTTCATCCACGACGAGATTGAGCGCAACATTGGCGTAAACTCCCAAATATTAGAGCTAGGTTCTTCCACAATGGAGGCCAGGCGTAGGGAACGAGAGGAATCCGAATCTGCCAAGGCCGCTTTCATCGAATTCTCTCAAAGCCGTCTCGAAAGATATATCAAAGGGCCATCGTTGAGCCATATCGAGTCTCCGCCTACGAGTCAGGGCAATCAAACGTCCGGTCCGGTTGTGATACCCAAGGAAAGTTCCTTGAAATGGAGAACGCAGGTGAAGAGGGAAATTGAACAAGAGGGTGCAGCCGAGTCAGCTGCTGACCAAGGCAGTCAAGGGGAGAGCCGCCTCGAACACGGAGTGCCTCCTGATCTGTCGACAATAAAGACCGAGGGCCAAACAACAGAGGGTGATCTTGAATACGAACCACTGCCAATTGATGCGCCTACCGGTCAGGACGGTCAGGTCATCTACAAGTCATCACCTAAACCCCGGAAGACAAAATTTAGGAGTCTCGACGCGCGTGAGTTCAATCCGTTCCTGGTCAACGCGCCTACCGGTCAGGACGGTCAGGACGACCGGGACGGTCAGGTCATCTACAAGTCATCACCCAAACCCCGGAAGAGAAAATTTAGGACTTTCGACACGCATGAGTCCAACCCGTTCCTAGTCAATGCGGCTTCTAGCCGAGTTCTTCCCAAGCCACGGCCTATGCCCCCGAAGAGCAAAGATGTGGGCCTCAGCACGGAGTCACGTCTTGATGACCTCCGTACACCAGGTCCAAGAGAAACCAGCACTCAATTCCCAGGCACAAGGACACGTAACAGACCACGACAAATGATGTTTCCGAAGAAACCATTCGCTAAACCAGAACCAAACGATGAGAGAAAGTACAGCACGGGTGCAATTTTCCACCAAGCACAGCTTCGACAAAGCAGTGGTGTCAGTGATACTTCCCTGGTTGAACGGCCACTTGAAACCCATTTGTCATCGGTCCAGGATACCACGAACGGACCAGGATCTGCTGAACAAAATGATTCTACAGCTGAACCAATCCCATCTTCAGACATTGGTTCCAGTGCCAACAATCTTACGACGCCCCAGTTCTGGACCCATAATTCACAGCAAAGCCCCGATGGCCGGAAACTCATCGTGCATTATTGCCGGACCCTTCAAAGCACCGAAGAAGCCGTGCAACACTTCCTCGAGAGCAAAGTCATTGGATTCGACATGGAATGGAAGGCTCAAGCATCAGGCTTCGACAGCATTCAGAGCAATGTGTCGGTGATCCAAATAGCGAACGAGGAGCGTATCGCCATCTTTCAGGTTGCACTCTTCAAGCCTGCCCGTTCTCTGGAGGACCTAGTTTCTCCGTCATTGAGACGCCTCGTTGAATCTCCCGACGTCATTAAAGTGGGTGTTTCGATCAAGGCAGACTGCACACGGCTGCGCAAGTATCTTGGCATTGATGCCAAAGCCACATTCGAGCTCAGCCATTTGTACAAGTTGATCAAATACGGCAAAGACAATCCTAAGTTGGTGAACAAGAGAGGCGTCAATCTCAGCGAGCAAGTAAACGAGCATTTCGGTCTCCCTCTCGAGAAAAGTGACGATGTGCGCTGCGGTGATTGGACTCGGAATTTGAGTTATCGTCAAGTTCAATGTGAGTACTTCGATTTGCACAATTCCTCTCCTTGGATGCTAATCTTGTTTTCTTCTTTAGATGCTGCTACCGATCCGTACGCTTGCGTTCGTCTGTTCCATATCATGGAGGCGAAAAGACAAGCCATGGACCCAATGCCACCTCGTCCCGCATTCGCTGAACTCAACCAGCCCATTGTTCTTCCACTTGGACTAGCAGTCAACGGCGAAGAGGACCCATTGATTTGACCATGTATATATGCATACTGAGTACATGTACCTAGATTTATTTATCCCTTCAATACCCCACTCTTTTATTTTGCCAAAGTTTTAAAAGAATATATGTTTGTGCAGTTTCGATCCAGAGAGGCATTTTTCTTTCTTTATTTCGTCCCTTTGTTATGGTGCTTTGTGTCCCGCCTTCGATATATATGTACGTCGTAGAAATGCATTGGGTGATCTATGTCAAGATTCAATCGAACCATACAGTCCATAAAAACCATGCTCGAATTAAATAGAAACAGGGGGTATATATTTGTCTAAAAAAGTGTATACACATGTATCGACCGCACCAATCTCTTCAGCGATAGGCATGAAGATAATGAAAGCACTAGCCTAGAACTTATTGCGAACCACATAGCTACCCTCTTAGAGGAAGCACCTTAGATAGCAAGACCTCTTGCCGACAGAGCGGGCACTCGGGCTTTTCACGAACCCAGTCCCGAACACAAATCCAGCAAAAGACATGTCCACAGGTTGTAACACTAGGGTCCTTGAACATTTCCAGACACAGGGTGCACTTCCGCTGCTGACCCTCGGGGATCCATGAAACAGCGCCAGGATCCTCCTCGAGATCATACAGAGGCACAGACGCAGGAAGGAGAGGAATAGAAGACGGATTCTGAATCGAAGCAAGAACAGCTCCACCCTGCGAGGGAGACTGACCAGCGTCTGTAGACTCGCTCTC